CTCCACTCTGCAAGATCTTTATCTTGTGGCCCAAGCGAGTTTCTTGGCTAGTGTACAACAGCAGCCCTGGAGCCAAGCCCATTTCTCACTCCCCCTCCTCCTCTTTAAAGGTTTCTGATTATTTGGGGTGAGACAACTTGTTTAAAACAAAGCTTTCCTGGGAAGTGATAAGAAAGGCCCACCTGCCTGCAGGCAAGAGGACTTCGGCTTCCGTCACTGCTAAAGAGCAGCGCTCAGAGCCCTGCAGCTCAGCACATTTGCACCGGAAAGCAGCATTTCCAGGTCAACAGCAACCTCTGGAAAGAGGCGGATTTTCCAGACAACGCAGCGAGATAGGACAGTCCCCAGGAACATCGCCTGGAGGATACAGCCATTGCACATGGGAGGATATCTGAGAGATACAGGGGGCAAATAACTCAACGTCACCCTGCTCTGCTCAACCTCCCGCCAGGTGGAAGGTGCAGAAGAAGGGGCAGCTCTGGGAAGGCTCCGGCCCTTTCCCCGCACGCATCCCGGCTATAAACGGGCCGGCCCCAGCTCGGCTGCGCCGGCGGCTCGGTTTCCAGCGGAAGGAATGGCTGCAATGCGGGGGAGAGCTCCGCACTTGCTGGCGCGCGGACAGCTGCGCCCGCTCCGCACCCCCGGCCAGCCGCTGCGTGCGAGGGCTGGACGGGATTCCTGAATGGAGAACGGCCCGGGATCCCGCCCGGCAGCCCCGATGCCGCCCCATTCCTGCGGGCGAGCTGGAGCCAAGTTTATCCCCGACACATCGCCGGCGGCTCTGCAGGATTTAGACCCCAGATAAGTTCGGTGCAAGATCTAAACCCTGGTGACTCGCAAGGTCAGAGAAGTCACTACCATGAGAAGCCATGTGCGAGCACCGCCCTGCTTAGAGCCAGGGCTCATTGCACTGAACAGCAAACCATGATCACACACGCACACCAAGCCCTCCAACACAACCCCTGCAAAGAGCACTGAGCTCACGGGAAAGTTGAGCCCAGCGCAGCTCACTGCAGGCCCTGGAAGGAAATGCATGGAGCAGGAAAAGCAATAAAAAGGGCTTAAGGACCAGAAAGCAAGAGCAAGGTAGAGCACTCAGAGGCCAAGCAAATGGGCAGGGGAAGGAAGGTGCTCTGCAGTGCAGGGCGGGGAGAGGTTGGGAATCAGGGACACGGGGCTCCTGTCACCACCAGACACCGTCCCTGGCATTAGGAAGGGGAGCCACAGCAGCCTCTGCACCTTTCCTCCTCTTGCTGCTCTTCCAAGGGATCCCAGGCTCCGAGTGATGAGCGGGAGGGTCTGCAGGACGTTTACATTAGCGGCAAGCAACGCGGGTGCCAACAGCAATTCGTTACGAGCGCTGGGGGCAGAGCGGGCAGGCACCGCTGCAGTTACCATAGAAGGCACCTCGGAGGGGAAAGGCAGCAGAGCGGCTCCCCACGGCAGGGCCCCGCGCTCGAGCGTGCACCGCGCGAAACCGGGGGTCCGGCTGTGCCACAGCCTGTCCCCACCGTGTGCACCAACAGCCTCTGCCTGCTGGCTGGTGGCAACTGTGGGCACTGTCCCCATCTCCGGGTCCATTCCTGAGCCCTCAGCCATTCTCTGTGGATAGGAGGGAGCAGAGGAGTCACCTAGGAGTGCCCAGCTGCCACAACATGCTCTCATCCTCATCTTCCTCAGAGATCCTGTGGGAGTGGGTTGTTTCTTCAGCAAGCAGGGTGCCCTGCCACACCTGGCACGGGGACTGTGCACAGCTCCGAGCACTCACAGTGTCACACCAGGAGTTCCAGGCACCTCTCATCAAGCACCCAGCCACAGCCTGGGAGATCTGCCTGGCACTTTGGTCATTTGAAAGCTATGGGATTTGATGTCCCAGAATTATCAGGAGGGAGGGAGGAATAACAGCCGCAGCACCATGTGGCACTGGACAACACTCCCTCCCTGAAAGCAGTCCCCTTCGCAGCAGCAGAGCCACCCATCCCTTTGGTGGCACATAAGGAGAGCCTGCAGGACGAGCAGCAGCCTCTGGGCAGGGATGTCCCCATCCCCTGAGGCAGCTGGACATCAACACTGCTCTCAGAGCACAGACTCCACAACCTGCAGCCAAAGCGTCAAACTCCTCACACAAACTTCCCACTGCAGAAACACCACCCCATCCTTTTGCACGAGGAAGGGGAACTCTCAAGCACCTGCTCTTTCTGGTGCTCGTACAGAGCTGCGAATACAGCACAGTCCTCGAGGTATTCAGCACCTCCACGGCTTGCAGAGCTGGAGCAGCTCCCCTCACTCTCTGGCTATTGTTTTTGGTGCTGCTATAGCACCTATGTGACCAGGTCGGGAGCTCCTGCTCTGCACCCTGCACCTCCTCCGCACCCCGGGCCGGTGCTCGACAGCAACTCCCAACCCCGCTTCGCCGCCTGCCACCCGCACGAAAAGCGAGTCCCTTCTCCCCGAGCTGGCTCCAGATCCCCGCAGGTTCCTCCTACCGCAGAGCCCGGGCTGGTGCTTCGCGGGAGGCGGCGCGGGGGCCGCACATACACAGACAGCGCATATACATAGGTGCATACCCCCCACCTATAGCACCCCCCGAGCCCCGGCACTGCCCCGCTTACCGCTCTGCCGGTCCATGGTGGGCGGCAGCCGCGGCCGGCGCGGGCGGGGAAGTGGCCGGAGCAGCGGGTGGCCCCGCGGGCAGGGCCTGAGCGCCCGGCCCGGCCCGGCCCAGCTCGCCCCGCCCCAGCGCCCTCCTCCCGGCAGCGCCCAGCACCGGCCTGGCCCGCCTCGGTTCGGTTCGGTTCGGCTGCGGAGGCTGGAGGCAGCTCCGGGACCACCCGCAGCAGCGAGGGTGCCCCTGGGCCCCTGGTCCGCGGGCGGAGGAGAGGAGGGTGCCAGCGGGAGCAGCTCTCCCTGCTCCCCGCTTAACCGCCCTGCCCGGCTCTGCTGGGCTGCACGTCCCTCTCATGGGCACAGGGACCCTGCATGTCCCTCTCATGGGCACAGGGACCCTGCATGTCCCTCTCATGGGCACAGGGACCCTGCATGTCCCTCTCATGGGCGCAAGGACGGAGGCTGCTGGGGGAGCTGCTCCCTGGCCGGCTGGCAGGGACGCACAGTTCCAGGGATGCTCCATGGGGTTTCATGTAGGGTTTCCCACGTGGAAGCAGCTCTCCATGGGTTTTCCCTTAATAGCCACCATCAGTTTCCCAGGTGCTTCCTCACACTGAGCATGTCCAGCACTGGTTGCCTTTCACCTCCACAGCTTGCCCATTTTAGGGTACTTGTGCCAGGGCAGAACAGAGGCCAGGTATGGGGAGCAGAGCTCTCTGTCCTCTCACATCCCCTCCGTCCCCAGCCCCGAAACAGCCCAAACCCACCCTTCCCAGCCACTCTGCAACCCACACTGGAGCAGTGCCTTCCCATCAGACTGGTATTGGCTGCAGCTGGTACCTCCTGTCTGGCATAAGCCCCATTTTCCTCTTTCTCCTCTTGTAACACCCAGTGGCAGGGTCATCTCCTGGGCTGTGGTCAGAGTACCCGGCACAGGATGCAGCCCACCAGAATCCACCCAGTTTGTGCTTGCAACTTGCAAAGCAGCCCAACCAGCAGCGTAGGCTCAGTCAGAAAATCGGCTTTCCTGAAGGTCTTCCATGCGCCTGTCCCTGCCAGGCAGGACTCGGAGAGGTGCAGCCCCCACACTGTGTGCGGTGAGCAGAGCCCATGCCAACCATGCTGGTCCTGCTGGGTGTCTGCTGCCCCCGATCCGAGAGCCCGGAGAGGCTTCCTGGCCAGCAGCTCCCACCCATGGAGAGGGGCTGCTAGTTATTTCCTCTCAGTCAAGCGGCTGGACCCATCCCAGGAGCTGCAGGTTTGGAATCACAGCTCTTCCCACCACCTGCACCCACACAAGAAGCACCGCAGGCCCCTGCCTCAGTTTCCCCTTCTTTGCTGTGCAGGGGGTTGTGAGGAACAGGTAGTTAATGTCCATGAAAGACTTTGAAAATGAAAAGCCTCTCCAAGTGCTCCACATGGTTGCTATTGTTGTTAAGATGATGATGATTATTATTAATAATTGGGAGCGCTGGATCCAGGCTTTATCACTGCAACTGCTGCTGGAGATGGACGTTTCTTACAACCCCAAAGAGCAGAGTTTGATTTAGGCAGCTGCCATTTACATGGCTGGAATCATTATAAATACAATTGCTTCATTTACTGCTGCACTAACGTAGACAGAAGCAATTACCAGAGCAGTATTACAGTCCCCACCTCACTCCCCAGCCCTTTCCATGCCAGTAGAAGAGCTTGTTGAGCTGCAGCCGCTGCTGAAGAGATGTCCATGGCAGGCACCTCTCCCACCTCACACAGGAACCCCATTCCTGCACTCTATGCAATGAGCTCGGCAGCCTCAGCACTAAGAAGCAGTGGTGCTAATGGCAGGGAGGGGATTTGATCTACCTGGTGTGAGATAATGAGGATGGGACCTTTTCAAGGAGCACCAAGCAGACAGAAGCAGAGCTGGCTCATTGCATGGTGAAGGCAAACGAGATCCTTGCCGTCACCCAGAAAGGAACCTGCCTGCTCAGCTCCTATAAAGGTGTCTTGTAGCCTTGCTGGCCTGCTTGGGGTGGCTCAGACTTGCAATATTCCTGCAATTTGTGCTTAACAAGCAGGTAGAAAATCAGAGCAACACAATTCACACCAGAAAAAATGCTTGTTTTGTTTAAAAAAGAACATATCTGCAAAGTTGAAAAAAAAGCAACATATAGAACCAAAATCCCTATTATTTTGCATTGGAATAAGTGCAAACCACCCTTGGTAAATGCCTTTGTTCTTGAAAGCTGCCAGAGGGATTTGATCTGGGACAGAGATACCAATGATGGAGTAAATCAGGAGAAGCTCAGGAAAAGCACAGCAGGAGATGCAGCAGTTGGTGGGCAGCAGTGTGGCATCCCTCTATGTCCCTTCTTGCTTTTATTGAAGAAGGGCTTGGGTTTTCAATGGTGTGAAAAATCATCGTTCCACTTCTTTGGCAGGAGAAACTGTCTCCTTGGCAATACCAAGTATTCAGGGAAACCTGGCCCCTTGGAGGACTCAGGACTGCACTTTGGGGTTGCCCATGGGGGTCCCTGTTCCTGTACACGTCCCCCACACCAGAGAGCCCAGACTGGGCTCCCCATTTCCTGAAAAGATACCCAGGAAATTTTCCAGACTCATAAGTAAATACATATAGACCAGCTGGGTGAAGGGTGAGGGGGGACAAGACCACCCCTCCACTTTCTGCAGCAGCCCAAAGGCAGGTTTGCACCCTGCTGGTCCTAGTTGTCTTTGAGGCCCCCCCTTGGTCAGGTCCCTCCTAAGCAGGGATTCTGGGGAGACTCATCCTAACTCCCCTCCTTGGGGACCCAGCTCTGCAGCATCCCAGGAAGCTTGTGGATCCTGCTCTCCTGCAGCTGGAATGGGACCAATTGGGACAATAGGCCTGGGAAAACCCTCTCCCCTCACCAGGGTGGATTGGTAGAGAGATACCAAGTGCACAGAGCTCACGTTGCTTTAGCTCCTAGAAAATGCCAGGGTTGATGTAAAACCAAGATGTTCTCCCTGCCAAAGAGCACGAAAGAGAAGATCCCCACCCCAGTCTCCCAGAGGTCAAGAAGAAAAAGAAACAGCATAAAATTATCTGCGAGACTCCAATTCACTCTCAGGGGTGCAGAGGGTGCCTCTGTCACAGCCAGCATTGAGACTCATACAGAGCTGCAGTATAGAGATCTTTCTATGTATATATTTATAGGTATGTATATATTTATAGTGCACTGCGTTTAAAAGAGCCGGGCCTGCTTCTTCAGCTCGTTCCTCTTCCACAGGGCCAGGCGGTCGAACTCGGCGATGGTCATGCCGAAGATCTGGTAGAATTCCTCCTGGGAGAGGTGGCGCTGGGGAGAGAGGGGCTGCTGGGACGGGGGCTCGGGGGGTTATGGGGACAGGGCTGGGCAGGGGGGCTGCGGGGACCAGGGCCAGGCTGGTGGGATGCTATTCCCTTGGAGGACAAGTGGCACGTGTGAGCGCCTGGGGGCTCTGTGGGGTCTGATGGGGTGGGATGCAGGTTTGGGGACCGCCCGACTGGGCCCCTCCGAGCCCCAAGGATATTGTGAGCGGTGGAAAAGGCTCCCCTCACCTCTAACCGAGTCCTGTCCACATCTTTGGGCAGCTGGTTCCTCCCTCTCGTCTTCACCAGGAGCAGCTCATACGGGTATATCTACATGGAGAAGCGAAGACCATGGGCTGACTCTGGAGCTGGAAGAGCACAGCACTCGGGGCAAGCTTTGGAAGTGTGGGGACACCAAGGCAAAGGCTACTCCTAAGGCACTTGGCTGGCACTGCCACCCACCAAGGCTTGGACAGGGCATGGCTAAGATGGGGCCATGACAGACTCTAATCCAGAGGGAATTCAAGAACCTTGATGGCTCTTGAATGGCAATGTGGAGGTCCTCTGCTTGCTCTGTAAGGCCCAGAATGATCCAGAGCCATGTGCGAGCTAGAAACGAGCCACCAAATCTGCTCAGCAAAGAGCCTGGAACACTAGCAGGAGGGGAAGGACCCTGAGTCCTGGGATGGGACTGTCTGGTGGGGAGCTTAGAAGGATGCAGGAGAATGAATCCGCCATCACAGCAGGGTCTGGAGGCACAAGGAAGCTTCTCAGGGACGTCCTCAGGGTGGTATTGGGCACCTCCAGGCGGCAGCTGCCCCTTGGAGCAGGGACCCTGCAAGCAGGGCCACCTTACCTTGTACTCTGCAGGGAGAGAGGAGAGACAAGAAACAGAGACATGAGCCACTCGGACACCTCCTTGGCCAGGATCCCTTCCCCAGAGCCGCAGGGATCCCCATCCCGCCCCTCCAGCCTGGGTGAGCCCTGAGTCGTGTCCAGGAGCCCCCTGCCCACCTCCCGCTTACCTCGCATGCCCCAGTTGACGGCGTTGGTGCTGTCGTAGTGGAAGAGCTCAGCGCTGGGAGGCTGCGAGGGGACACAGAGGGTGACGATGAGCAAGAGGCACCCTGCACATTGGCATTGCCTGCGCCCAGGCACCCCCTGGCACCCACCACCCCAAAGAGGGACCCGCTCCCCAAGCCTGGCAATGGGAAAACAGGGCACACGCTGGGGACGCTTACCCTGTGCAGCCCGTTCCTCCTGTAGGCAGGGAGCGAGGCCGACTTGGAAATGAGGGGGTCTGGAAAGGAACCACGCAGGGTGCATCAGTGCAAAGGCAGGGGCTGCTCCCACGGGACAGCACCCCCGGCTGTCCCCGTCGCAGTGCTCACACATCCCCGCTCTGCTCCAGCCTGCACTCAGCTCCTGCCACACATGCGGCATTTGGGGTCATTTTTGTCCCCAAATGAGCTTTCCAGCTCCTTCCCTATCTACTTTTGAGCTTGCCAGGTTCTGTCTCCTCTCCGGTTGTGTCTCATTCCCACCCCTTTCCCTGCCATGCTGAAACTTCTCTCTCCCTTTCCCATGGCTGCTCTCTCTCTCACCCTTCGCCCACACAGGCCTGTCTCGATCTCGGTGTCTCAGACCGAGTCCTCTCCCGGCTCTGCTCCCAGGACTAGGCTGCTCCCTTAGCACAGCCCTCCAAGCAGGTCCTTCTCTTCCCAGTTCTTCCCCGCTGGTCCCAGACCCACATCTGCGACGTCAATCCCCACTCCCTGCCCAGAGCAGAGGCAGAAGGGCCCGAGGGGCGCGAGACTCACCGCTGTCAGCCAGGTAGTGTGTCCGCGGAGCTGCAAGGGGAGCAGAGGGTGGCTCAGAGGGCAGCAAGGGCCCCGCACCGCTTGGGGCTCCCTCCAGCCCAAGGTCCCATGGGTGCCAGCCCCATTCGGGAGCTCAGGGTAAGGACAGAGCCCTCCAAGGAGGGGAACAGTCGCTCAAGGCCAATCCTGGCGTCCATCCCACCTTTCCAACCACCCCTTCCCAGGCCTGTAGCCTCCCTCTGTAGTTCTCATAGTGCCCCAGGTCCTGCCAAGGTGGGATGGACAGGGACCATGGCATGATGGCCGGGGAAGGTGCCACCCTTACAGCCGTTGAGGGAGCCCTCGTAGCCGGACGTGTGCAGAGCCTCCCTGCTGCTGGCCGAGCTGCGAGGAGGCGTCCAGGGGTCCGCGTAGGAGTTGGACCGGGCCTTCATCTCCTCCCTCAGGATCAGCCTGCCGATGCCGCTCTGGATCTGGGCACCGGGGAAGAGCTGCTCTGCACCCATGCTTTCCCCCTGCCGGCCCTTACCCCAAGGGAGGGCACAGCACGGGCTCATCAAACCCCGTCGCCCTCAGGATGAGCGTGGGCTCCTCAACCCCATCTCCCCTATGATGGGCATGGGCTCATCCAACTCCATTGCCCTCATGATGAATGTGGGTTTATCAAACCCCATCTGCTGCCCCCCTCACCAGGAGGGTGGTGGTGCCTCCCCAAGGTGCCACTGAGCCCCTTGCTGCCTGTCCCCATCAGGCTGTAGGTAGGGAGCATCGCTTACCTTGTGCATCCCCCGCTCGTAGCTGTCCTCCTCGCCTCCCGACGAGAACCTCCGGGCCCGGGGCGCTGCAGGGAGACACGTGCTGGGCTCAGATGGGGCAAAGCCAGCGGCGGGTGGGGAGCAGGCAGGGCCCAGCGGGATGGGGACAGCAGTTCCCAAGGGTTGCCAGGACTTGGGGTGGCTTTGGCAGGGTCTCTATCACTCCTGCTTCTTGAGCCCACCCTTGGGTCCAAGTCCAGCATGGAGGTCCCAGGGCAAATCTCTCCAGATGTGCCAGGTGTGGGGGCAGGTTTCGCGAGTTGAGCCTTGCTCCAGCCGGTCCGTTACCTTTGGGGGAGCCTTGGAAGGACCAGTACTCTGACTCGGAGTGGTAGTACGGGTCTGGGGAGTAGGCAGGGCTGTACTTGGATGACTGCGCGATGTCTTCGCTGGTTTTGCTTTTCGTGGCTGCAGGGGGATTGTCTGCAAGAGGAGGGCAGAGAGCTGTAACAAGGACAAATCCTCCCTCTGAAAGGGCTTGCAAAGATCCACCCTGGGGTGAAGGCAAATCCTCTTCCCTCGCCATCCCACATGGCAGCACTTTGTGCACGGGACAGCACAGAGCACACCTGGAAACAACCCCTTTGCAAACTGCTGCTGGGGACAGTCACAAACACAGGGTCTGCTGCTGAGGAAGGGACCCAAGTGGCTCATAGGCTCAGACCCATAGCACCAAACCAAGCTCCGGGCCCTGAACAGCGCCTGCCCCAGATTCCAGTGCCCTTGGTGTCCCCTGCCAGTGACCTGTGCCCCTCCGGATGGCCTGTCACCAGAGATGGCAATAAGTGCAGAGGATCTGAGCGGGATCCAGAGGGAAGGGATGGAGGAAGGCGCGTTCCCCGTGGGGAAGGAGGTCTCGGCAGCTTATGCCGGGGAAGGCTGAGGTGGCTGCAGAGCGTGGGGAACAGAGCGGGCAGCCCAGCATCTCTGTCTCAGGCAGGTGCTCAGCTCCCCGGGTCAAACCCACAGCTTGGGATCCTCTGCATCTTCTCCCAAACCTTGGGGACGTGCGTGGGAAACCCAGCAGCGCTCGACCGCCTCCTCCTGCTCCGTCAGGAGAAACGACTGCCCTGTCCCTGGGGACGCGAGGGGCCACCAGGAGCGGGATGTCGGGCAGGGACAGGGGGGTGCAGGCAGGGCGCCCTCGCCAGCCCTCGCGCCCAGCACAGGACACTCAGCAGACGGCAGCTACTTACAGCAGCGGGTGCAGCAGCCAGGGCCGGGAAGGGAGGCGGGAAAGGAGAGCCCGAGAGAGAGAAGGAGACACATGGTTATTGCTCCCCTGCCAGGCACCAGCGCCAGCCAGGGAGAGCAGGGCAGCCCTATGGAGAAGGGTGACCCCAACTCCCCACGCCTCTACCTCCCACTCCCAAACGCCTCCTCAGGGCCCATTGCAGCTGCTGCATCTATGAAGGCTGCTGATTTTTCTTATGGCTCCATGTGAAACGGTTACTTCATCCTGTTTCTGAGGCTGCTCTGGCCTGGCCTCGGCAAGCACTGGCCACCCTCATCCCTCTCCATCCCAGTCCCCTGTGCTTGGCCTTGCTGTTGCAGTCCTGATCAGCCCTCCTCTGCTAACCCCAGGGGACAACATTCCTTTCTGTCACCTCTTTCAATCCCCCAAGCCCCAGGCCCCGCACGGAGCAGTGTCGAGCCCTGCTGGCCCCAAGCCCGTGCTGCTCTCCAAGCTCGCGGCCCGCAGCTCTGTCCAGCTCTCCCCACAACCTCATGAGAAGGGCAGACTGTATCGAGAGGGCAGACTGTACCGTGTCGCTTGTAGATGGGGGGTTTCCGGTAGATGTTACTCTCGCCAGCAGCTGGTGGAAGAAGAAGGAAAGAAATGGAAGCAAGAGGGCAAGAAGGAAGGAAGGGGAGGTCAGTCGAGTTTGCCAAGAGCGGGCAGGACAGAGGTCCTGCGGGAGATGCTCTGCCCAGGCTGCTGCGCTGCCTCCGTGGTCCGGAGCGCAGGGCTGGAGCGCCGCGGGGCGCAGGGAGCACTGCGGGGCGCAGGGAGCGCCGCGGGGAGCACCGCGGGCAGCGGTGCGCACGGGACATGCAGCGAGCGCCCGAGCGGCAGCATGCACCGCGGGGCAGCCCCCTGCTCCTGCCCACGCTCTCCTCACCGACCGAGGGGCCGGCCAGGAGAGGACAGGGATGCGGCCAGGAGAAGATGGGGATGCGGGCAGGAGCCGCGGGCTCTGCCCTGGGTGGGCGCACAGCCCCACGCGCTCCCGCGGGGGTGCGTGAGCCTAGCAGGACCATGCGCGCTCTACCTGAGGGCAAAACAAACCAAGCCGAAAGCCTCTTTCCGCAGCACAGAGAGAAAAGAGCGAGCTGGGAGGAGGAAGCAACCTGGCGCCTTGCAGCGAGGCCCCGGCCCCGTGCAGGGGCCAAGCGGCTGAGCCGGCAGAGCAGCGAGGGGGCCATCCATAAACCACGGACCGTGAGCAGGAGGGCAGGCCGGGCCGAGCCCGCGTGGGGACGGAGCGGGGAGAAGGGGGCTGCAGTGGGAAGCCTCGGGGTGTCTTCCTAGCTGGGGGGCATGGGATCTATGGGGGGGTCCCACCCAACTATGGTGCAGCGGGAAGTGCCTGGAGCTGAGCAGGGAGCAGCCGTGGGGTTGGGGCCAGTGCAGGGCACGGAGGGTCTCTCCTCTGCCCCGCTGTGCACACTGAGGGGCGGCCGTGCCTGCTGCCCTCCCGCCTCTCCCTGTGCCCGCTCCATCCCCTGTCCCCGTGGGCTCTGCGTGGCCGGGAGCGGGGGTGGTGGCCCTTACCTGGTGGCCCCCTGCAATCCCTGCAGAAGGGGAGCAGCCATCTGGCAAGCCCAGAAGACTCTGGGGGGAGGGAGCGGCGGGCCCTAGGGGGAGTATAAAATAGTCATCTGTAAAGGATGGGTGCAGACAGGCTGCTGGCAGACAAGCTTCACCCCGTGGTCCTGGGCAGGAGGCAGGGGAAGGGGCAGGCTCTCTGCAGGGGGGGCTTCTCCGTGTGCAGAGTGGAAGAAGGTCGGGAAGAGGAGGAGGAAGAGGGACATTGCAAGGATCAAGCAGACTCCGGAAGGCTCCGGGACCTCTGGGTGGTGATGGGGAGGGAGGAGAGTTCAAGCTGCAGGTCCTGTTTATGGATGGCCTCTACCAGGGGTAGATCCTGCTGCCAGCTGGCTCTAGGCAGGCGGTGGAGCTACGCATGCAGCACACAGGGAACGGCACATGCGGGCATGCGAAACACACGGTGCTTCCCCACGGCGCCGGGGCGCTCCAGAGCCTACCTGGAATGTGGAAATGCTTGGGCGCTTGGTATGAGGTTGGAGTGGAGGACCTCACATCTAACTGGCTATAGTAGGGGGAGCTGCGCCCGCTCTCTGTGCCTATGTGGTGCCGAGCAGAAGCAGCCGTAAGTGACCGAGAGAGAGAACAAGAGGCAGAAGAAAATGGGTGTTAAATGCAGCGGTGTTTGTTAGGAGAGCGGGGAGCTACCCAAGTGGCGGGTGAGATGGGGACACGTGCCAGGCTGCGATCCGGAATGAGGGGTGATGGAGTGAGGGGAGCTTTGCTGCATCTCTCAATGAAGGTGGGATGCAGAGGAAGCCCCATGGGCGGGTGCTGTTACAAGGCAGCAGATTCCCCCATCATTCATGGGGGGAAGGCTGGAAACCCTGCAACTGAAAGCAAAGTGAAAGGCCACTGGCTGTGCAATGCAGGAGTAGCTCCAGGGATGCAGGACTTCCAGTCTTGCGGATCTCGTGTTCTCCTGCCTGTTCTTCCCCAGCTCTGAACGTCAGGAGATGTGGAACGGACACACAGCTTCCTCCCCAGACACACTGCAGGGATGTGTGCACGTGCACAAGGACCCTTGCAGCAGCGGCAGGACACAAGCAGTCCTGTGCATCCCCCCTGCCTGAGTGACCAGCCCAGCTCGAGTCTGGGGTCCTCCTTCTGTCCTCCAGACTTCACTGGATCTTGGGACCATGTCCAGCCCTATCCCATTTTCCAGTTCAGCTCTGGGCCAGGACAAAGCCCCTTTGCCTCTTCTCACCGCTCACTCGGTGAGACTGGAAGTGGAGGAGGCACCAAGCAGACAGTCACTGCCCACAGCTCCCACCACTTGTGGTCCTGAGGAACCCAAGAGGCAGCCTATGTCCTTGCCCCAGGCAGCTTAACCAGAGCACAGAGGTCCCTGGGAAAAGCAGGGATGTCTTGGGGAGCCCCACGCCTTGGGGCAGCCGAGCTTGGCCCGGCCTGGCGCTGCGGCCGAGATCCTCACCTGAGCGGTAGAAATGGTGCGGGGATCTCGGGACGGTGGGTGACATGCCCTGGCGGCTGTACGTGGGAGAGTCGATGTAGCCGGGGCTGGAGGCCCGTCTCTGCCGGATGTCGATGCTTTCGTAGATGTCCTAGGAGCAGGGCAAGGTGTGGAAAAAGAGGTCATGGCTAGAGCAGGCGCTCAGGCTGACGGGGCACAGGTGTTGGACACAGGCTGGGAAATGCCAGCAACGGCAAGATCAGTGCCTTGCAGGCCCATCCTTGCAGTGCCTTGCAGAATGTTCTTTGGGAGAACATCCCAGGACTGAATCCCATATCCCTGGCAGCCTGGAGGGCCTGGCTGGATCACCATCTCCCCCACGTTCCCATCCTGTTGCCACAAACCTTCCCCTCCACAGCATGGGAACCACCACGGGGCTGCCCTGCCACGGAGCCGCTTTCCCCCACGGACAGGAGCAGCCCTCTCGGCTCCCCGTCTCCTCCACCCACACAGTGCTCAGCAGAGCTCCTGCTTCCGTGCAGTCCCACAGTGCCACTCAAACGCTCCTAGGGCAAGAAGGATGCAGCACCACGGCCAAACTACCCCCCTCGCCGCTGCAGCCGCCCCCCCTGCGCCGGCAGCGCCGCGGGCCGTTACCTGTGAGTAGGGGGACAGGGCTCCCAGGGACTGCAGGCAGCGGAGGCAGAGCGGGAGAGAGAGACAGCACATGGTTATCAGCAGCAGGGACAGGGCAGGGCCATGGGGCAGCCCCTTTTCCCCACATTGCAGCCCGCTGGCTGGATATACAGCCCGCTACAGCTGGTAGGTGCTGCAGGTGGCCGGTGGGACAGCAGGTCCAGCGACGGGGGATGAATACTGGCTTGTCGCCGTCTCCACTGCTCAGCTTTGGGCCAGGGCGCAACTGGGTTCCACGGAGCAGCAGCCCAGATGTGCTCTGAGCAATGCCCAAATATCCCCGCCAGCCAAAGGCTTTTCCAGCACTGGATCCCCCCTGCCTGCCTCCATGGAGGCCAGGGAGCTGGAGGGAGCTCTCTTCTGTCCCCACTGCACGGGGCATCACCCAAGGTAAAGCATATCACTCCTTTGGGCAGCGGTGCCACCACCTGCCTTTGGTGACACTGCTGCGGGGTGGGCTGCAGGAAGCAAGGCTTGGGATAAGCCCCGGGGCCAGGGATGCAAGGGATGCTGCAGCACGACCTCAAGGGTCCCAAATCCTGCTCTCATGGCCCCTGAGCTCCATGGGAGCTGTGCAGACCCCCCTCATTCTCATTGCCTTGGTGAAGTCACCCACTGGCTTCCCCCTGCTCTGGGAAGTGGACCAGGGAAGCCCCGTGGGGCAGGGGCTGCTTTGGCATCATCTCATAAGGTGCTTTGCAATAAGGCACCAGCCCAATCCTCTTCCCCAGTGCCAGAACCAGCAGTTTACACAGGTACCAGAGCCAGGCTTAGACTATCCCAGCTCCTCCATCCAGCTCTACAGCAGGAAGCACCATGCACACAGCTTGCAGGACCTGCCTGGAGTCAGGCTTTGCGCAGAGCCCTCGGGTGACACAGAAGCATCCCACTGCCAATCCGTCCCTGCATCCCGGAGGGATGGGAGCTTCTCCCACGGTCTAGGCTGCAAGGAGGAAGCCTCCCTGCTGCACCAAACCCAAGGGTGACTTCTTATCTTGCCTGCCCTGTCCCTGAGACTCCTGCAGCTCTGCATGGAGCGTGTTGAGACTCAGTACCTCCCCATAGCTATATCTCTCCAGCGTTTCGTCCGATGTGTATCTGTGATAGGGCTCGTACGAAATGAGGTCAGGACGCTGCACTTCATAGATGGCTTTAATCTTGGGAAGAGCTGCCAGGTCTTTGTAATTAAGGATCTCATTATCCACTTTAGCCTAGGGAGAGGGAGAGACAGAGACAGAAAGGAAGAGACGGCGAGAGGGAAGGAGTGCGGAGCCGAAAGCAGAGCGAACAGAGCCCCGTGGTCCCCGTGGCAGAGAGAAGAGGTAAGCAGAGACTCCTGGAGAGGCAGCAGTGGGAAGTGGCAGAGGAGCTGGGATCTGGGGACTGTGACATCCCTCTGAGCACTCCTGGTCTGTTTTAATGACAGTCCCAGTATGATATCTCACTTGGGTGAGTGCAGCACGGCCCCAAAAGCTGGTCTCGTCCCCTGGGGACACCTCATGCTGCAGCCCGGCATCGGGAGCCATCGTTCCCTTCTGTGAGCGTACCCCAAGTCCCCGGCAGGAGCTCTCCAGCCGCCCCACGGCGAGAGGAGCAGAGCTCTACTTACGCAGATGACTCGGTTTGGGGAGCCGATGCTGGAGCCAGGCGGCGAGATGGAGGTTTCTGATGTTCTTCTGTGCTGTGGACACAGAAAAGCAGGGAGCAGATGAGAGCCCAGGTGGCCTCAGCCTTTGCTTGAGTCAGTGTGACCAGGGCATGGTGGGGAGGGACCTGCAAGCAGGCACACCACAGTGCACAGCGAGGACAGAGTTGGCACCAGGGCTGCCTGGCCTCTTCTCGGGACAGATCCAGATCCCACAGGACAACCCTGTGCCTTGGGTGGCCTTGCCGGACACTGCAGGCAGTGGCTGAGAGCCTGGGGACCAGCATCCCTGGGGATGTGCCACCTCCATGAGCAGGTCACCTCTCCCGGCCACCTACCTTCAGTTTCTTCTCTGCTCTTGCTGCCTGCTTGCATATAGGATGCCACACTTCAGATCCTGAAATGCAGGGGAGAGAGAGGGTTTTTCATGCCATGTGCAGCCCGGGCCAGCTGTTAGGGGACATCTAACTGCCTCTGCCACGAGTGAGCCCCATCCTGTCCCTGCAGACACTCCTGCTATTTTAGCACATGGCCCCTGCGGCACCAAGCTGGAGCTTGTCTGTCCCTCTGGTGAGGGTCATGCCTGCGCTCTCCAGCAGCAGCGAGACACGAGGGAGCTTCTGCTCCACCTAAGCAGCATCGCACTCAGCTGAGCAGCTCCCCTCATTAAGCCCTCATAGAGAGGGGCAGTCCCTCAAGGACAACAGCTGGGAGCAGGATTCGAACCACGCTGCGTCCCACAGGCTTTCCTGGGCACCTCCTCCACCCCATCCCCACCGCGGGAATGCCCTGGGAAGAGAGGCAGCGCTAGGTTCACAAGGCTCCTTCGCCCGCACTGGCAAATCACTCCTTCCCATCCTTGCAGCTCCCTGTTTTGCAGCACCCACATCTGGCCGCCTCCTGGTGCTGCTGGCTGCATCCCAGCAATAAGCAGGTCAGACAGGCCCTGCCGTCCACCTTGCCAGGACCCCCGGCCTCCATCTCCCCTCCCTGACTCTTCATCCAGCCCTGCAAATGCCCCTGTCCCACCCATCCACTCGGTAATTAGTGACTCAGGATGTCAGGCAGCACAGGAGGAAAAACAACCCACAGTTCCAGGCAGGGACCAGCTCCTGCAAGAGGAAACCTTCCAGCTGCACCAACAAAGGCTTAACCCCGCCAGTGCTGCCTTCCGCTGGGAAAAAGTTGGGGACAACACCAGGGAAGAGGTGGGAGCTGCTACTGCAGCGGGATCCCCCGCGCCAGCGGCGTCCCTACCTGTCAGGTACATCTCCTCTCCCTCTGTGAACATCTGGTGGCAGCGGACGCAGCGGGCACACGTGGGGTGGTAATGCTTCCCTCCCGCCTGCGGGCAGAGAAACGGCCCCTGAGCAAGTGCTGAGCTGCTCGCAGGGAAATCTGCCCCCCAGCAAGTGCTGAGCTGCTCGCGTGCCCCACGGCCAGCGTCCCGGTGTCCCTCTGTGCTGCAGTGCCCAGGTGACTGTGACCAAATGCCTGGGGCAGCCCCAGGGAGCACTGCTACATGCAGGGGAAACTGGAGCCTCCAACATCCCAACTGCGAGACTATGGAACCCATGGCAGCCTTTTGCTTTAATCATCTAAGATGTTTAAAGATGTCCTGGCTCTGACAGCAGGGCCAGGGGGTCCCAGACCTCAGAGCAAAGCACGCAGACAACTCACACCTTTAGTAAATTCATCTTGGATCTAGAAGCAACTCTGACCCTCTGAAGTAATGCGTAGCCAAGAGCCCATGTTTTGTACCAGTTCCTTGCCTCTGGAGTGCTGAGGTTTGGAAGAAACCCAGCAGTATTAAGGGCCCCATGTCCACAGACCGTTGCTGGGAAGAGAGGAAGATAAACCTGGCAAAGCAAAGGGAATCCCAGGCTTCATCCTGAGGGATAGGGGGAAGCCCAGCCCTGGGGGTGCTGCAGATCCTCCCTGGTTGTCCCTTCCAGCTCCTTTCCCATGACCTGAAGAAACTCTCCTGCTGCCTCCTTGCGTTTGTGAAGCCAAACCCAAACTCCAGCACTAACAACATGCTGTTTTCCCAGATGAGCCGGAGCAGGGCTGCTCCCTTTGCTCTTTGACAGGGATAATAGGTTTAATTGGTAGCTTGTTTCCACTCAAAGTGTCTGTTAGCATTTCAATTATAGGCTCATTTTCTGGGCTGGAGGTAGGAGCTAGCTCAGAGCTAAGCGCAACCTGGGCTGTGCTGGAAGAGCAAAACCCACAGGGACATTTTACCCTGCTGATAATCTGAGAGAGGGAGAAGGATGATTTAAGGTGGTAGAGGGAAGGTGAGGCCCTCACTGACAAAAGGAATAGTTATGATACCGAGAGGAGAGCGTGGAAACAGCTGGAAAAGGGGGAGGATCGATAGGAGAAGATTGCTGTCAGTCGGCCCCAAGGAAAGTGTTGATTGCCCCGATAATCAGTGGATTCTCTGCAGCGATGCAGACAGCCCCTAGTCACCAGCCAGGGGCTTTTCCGCCGCAGTTTAGGCAGGATATAAGCGGATGCATCTTTGCGCAGGAGAAGAGTGGGTGATTTTTCTGTTTTCAGGGGTTAGCAAGTTCCTAATATTACCTTGCATCTAAGCACAGGGGGATTGGGGCAGGGTCAGCCCACAGCCCAGACACCACTAATCCAGGTCGAAATGCTTCATATGGAGGCGGGAAAAGCACCCATGGGGCAGGTGGAGGCAGGGACAGATCCTCCACTTAACAAGCAGCAGCAAAGGGCCCGGTCCTCCTTTCCAGGCCTGTCATTAGCTCCAGCAGGAAGGAAGAGCAAGGAGTTTTCCTGAGCACGTGGTCCCATTCGCAACGCCAAGGTCGAGATCCTTCATTTAACACTGTGGATCTGAGCAAATCATTCTGACTCTGGGCAAATCAAACTGATTCTGGGCCATATGGATCCTAAACCAATTTTACTGCTATATCTATATATATATGTATATACATATAAAGCCAGGGCCTTGTCTGGAACCTGTTGCATCTTTGACATCCTTCCAACAAGCTCATCTCATTTGATGCCCAATGCTCTGGGGAGGCAACTCCTCTGCGCTGCCAAAGGAAGAGGCTCATTAAGCAAAGGCCAGTCCCTCCCTAGCTAAACGCTGAGCACATCATCTGAACTCTGAGCACATCCCCCGGCCGGGACGCTGGCTTGCTGCGACGGTCACAGCGCACACTGCTCCTCGCAGCAAGCGCTGGACATCAACGGCAGTCACGCTAAACCCTGTCAATCTGAAGAGGCAGCTGTAAACACAGGGAAAAGAATGATTAAAAACAACCTGGCTACATCCCAGCCACTAAGCACTACAGGTCAGTGTGGCTGCAATTCCGGTTGCTAATATTTTAAGATGGTTACAGACATCTGAAGTTGGGAAAGCAGACCCAGGATAGACCACTGATCTGTACTGAATCTGAGACAGGTTGCAGCAAGAGCTTGGTGCCCTCTGATCCTCCCATAGCACCTCCTACAGCTTGGTGCACTCAGAGTGAAGCAGAAGAAAATATCTATCTCTGTAGTTTCCTATCCAGATCACATAGCATATATGAGCCACAGTGTGCTGGAAGGGAGGCCCGAGATATTTAGCAGACCAGGGAGCTACAGATGTGCAGCAAGGCTGGATGCTCCCCAGGCAGCATATACCAGCCCTTCACACGCAGCCCTTCTCCTGAAACACCCAGGATTTCAAGCACCCAGCACTCCTCTTCAAGGAGGGATCACTCTCCAAACTGTACAAGCCTTGTTTATTTTATATTGATTATTATCACAGCTCGTAAACGGCTGATAGATGCTGCGAGTGAAGAGACCTGCTCGTTATCACTTGGGGTCCCTTAAAGACTCATTAATCATTCAAGGCTGGCTGCACAGCTCCGAGTCATTCCGAGAGCCCGGCGGCTCACGGGAGAGCATGAGAAGGCTCATTAAGGCCTAAAATTATTTAAAGGCGCCCTTTCCTTTTTGCACTCTGCTGGAGAAGCCTCTAGTTTTACAGGAAAACATTCAACATCTGCTGTTAGGGATGTATTTGGCCCTGGCCACCGCAGGAGACCAGCAGCCAGGGGCTCACAGTGGCCAGGATGGAGAAGGTCCATGACCAAGCAGGACTCGTGGGCCTCATATCCCTCCTCCTGCCCAGCCCAGCAGGATCCAAACCCTGTGTTCATCTCACCTCCGTGACAGTATCCAAAGGAAGGTCACACCTAGGCTCTGCCTAGAGGGAATCCAGAGCCAACCTGAATTACTTCCAGCCCATCCGAGGCCTCTCATGCAAGCAGGGTTTGCAGAAGTGCTAATGCGAGATGACTGATGCTCAGAGCATCTCATGGGCTTCAGCCACACCTTGGCGCAGGGTGGGCAGAGCTCACAGCCTGCTCAGGCAGGTAGGAGAGCCAAGGCTCACGGGAGGGCATGGAAAAGAGGGCTGCTTGGCCTGGACTCACTGCAGCTCAGGCAGGGGAGGGGAGCCCCTCAGGAGCAGTGCATTGAGCGGCCCCAGGGCAGCAGTGCCCAACAGGGCGCTGAGCACCCTGCTCTGGCACAGGAAGGATCCGGCCACCCTGCTGATGGGAAGGGCTCTTGCCCTGATCAACCTCCCCAGCCGGTGACCCCGCTCCCTCTGCCTCTGCTCCAGCATCCCGGCTCTACCAGATGCTCCCCGTGGCCACCGGGCACCCCCTCGCCAGCAGGCAGGCTGCAGGGCCGGCTCCGCCTGGCACCGCTGCCGCTTCCCGGTCCAGCGGCGCCGGGCTGGATGTGTTGCCAAGGCAACAGACAGGCGGCGCGTGCGGGGATGCAGCCCGGGCGAGCGCATCCATCCGAGGCGCTGCGGAGGGTGCAGCGATGGCACCGGCACAGCCCACCCCATGGGCACCCATCGAGGCCCCATCCCTGCTGGTGACAAGGGTGGCTCTGAGACTCACCTCCAGCACCCTGCCGCTGATGTACCGGTCACAGGTCTCGCACTTGATGCCAAACTGGGCATGGTAGTCGGACTCACAGTAGGGGACCCCATCCCTGTGGGAGAGGGGGGAGACGAGGCGTGAGAGGGGCCCAGGCGACCGAGATGCCTCCCTTTGCATCCCTCACCCGGACCGGGGTGTCCCATGTGGGATGGTTGGAGCTGGGTACCTGTAGCTGCTCCCCAGGGCGAGCAGCAGCCCAGGGCACAACAGGGACACTCACTTGCTGATGTACTCGCCGGTGAGGATGATGCCGCAGGTTTGGCACTTGAAGCAGCTGACGTGCCACTGCTTCTCCAGGGCCAGCAGAGACTGGCCTTGCTTGATCTCCTCCTTGCAGCCTGCACAGTCTGGGGAGACAGCGGGAAGGGGAGCACGTGAACCCCTGAAGCTCTGCACCAGGAGGGCTCGGCCGTGCTGCGGGACAATCCTGGAGCCTCCTGCACGTGCTGGACACCCTGGCCACTTAACATGACCCCCACGGGAGGCGGGACAGGAGTGGATTCGAGCACGAGCATCAGTGCTGAATGCCACATCCATGCACAGGGTCTCTGCCAAGCAACCCCCCTTCTTGTGCTCAGAGCCCTGCACCCCTGCCCCAGAGCATCTCCTTTGCTTGGGGATGATCCTGCTGCAATCACGCTGGCTCTGACACTGTTCCCAAAGGACCTCCCTTGGGATAACTCCTTTCCTATGCCATTTCCCCGGATAGGAAGATACTGCCTCTGCGGTGGGAGCGTCCAGCGGAGCAAAGGAAGGGCTGCACTCTCCAGCAGCCGCATCCGGCCCTACCGCAGCATTCCCGAGCCTCCCTTCCTCTCCCCGCTTCCCCTGGCTCCTGTCAAGGCTGGGAGCAGGAAGCACATGGGCCTCGGACCCCCGACCTTGACTCCTCCTTGTCCTCTTCTCTCTGGCCTCTGGTACTGCAGGTTTTCAGGCCCTCACGGCCAGATGAAGTTTCTCCCTAACTCCCTCGCTGCCTCCTTGCAGTGCATTGCATGGAGCTGCCTGCAGAGCACAGCAGCACCATTCCAGCCATCTGAGCAGGGATGATTCCCTCCTCACCTCGTCCCCGAGAAAACAGGTCCCAAGTCCCCATGTGCCGGGGCAGCACTTTTGCCCCATGCCACTGGCCAGCTCAGCTCAGGATCCATTCAGGATCAGCCGGGATCCATTCCCTGCCTTGGCTCTGGTTTGAGAGCTGCCCACAGCTCGGGGTCTGCAGGGAGCAGCGCAGCATCCTTCTCACAGGGACAGCCTCCTTTAGAGGCACCAAGGTGGGCTATAGCACCAGTCCCTTCCAACCCTGCCCTGCCTCTCCTGTCGCCCCTTCTGGGGTGGCACTGCCGGTGCCACCCGACGAGGAACATGCCCAGGCAGCGGGAGGGGAGATGCCAGCAGGCTCATGTACATCTGGCTGCTGCCTGCAGCTGCCCATGAATAAACCAGGGTGCCCTCAGGCAACCTCGCTCTGCAGGCTGGGGAGGAGCACATTGCGAGAGCAGGGAGGGGCTGACTGCCAGAGGAGGGCAGAGGAGGCCAGAGATGGAGCGTGTGGCTGCCTATCTCCTCCCCATGGCCAGGACCCGGCGCTCAGGCCCCGACAAGGTTTTGGCCACCACTTGGTGGCAGGGCTGCTGGTCCTCCTGGCCTCCCATGTGTCAGGCCACTTCCCTGGTGCCTTGGAGTGAAGGTGGTTAAACCTCTGCAGTCCCCTCACCCCAGACACGGTCTCAAGCTGTTCCCTTTGCACCAACAGCTTGACACCCAAGGGATGCTTTGCAGGTCACTATGCTTAACCTGGCCACGGGCAGAGCGCCAGCTGCAAGGAAAGACCGTGGTGCAAAGGCCGTGACATGGGTATGACATGAAGGGAACGCATCATAAGAAGCAACTTGGGATACAAACCAAGGTCATATCCCTCCAAAAATTCCTCCATATCCCTCGCTTCTATTGCTCTTGCTGAATTTTAGGTTGTGATCATCAATGTGAGGGAATAAGCATAAGAAGCTTTTCAAAACCTGCTTGTAGAGACAAGGAATAACTTAAGCCCTTGGGAAAGCCCAGTGTGTTCCCAGGAGGCTCTTCATGTTCAGAGAGACCTTGAAGGCCAGCACAGAAGGAAAACCGGGATTCCCTCTATAGGCTGCCCGCCTCTAGCAGCTGGAAGCATGAGATCCAGCAGTTCCCAGCTGCTGGGGTCTGCTCTCTGATGCGATGGCAATAACTGCTTCCTACCAAGGCACACAGCTGCAGTGGGAGCACGGGATCCCCTGCCTTCTCCTGGGATCCCAGCAGGGCTGGGATGTGCAGCGCCCATCGGGAAAGCAACCTCCGCTCCTGCCACTCGCTGCAAACCAAACCCCGTCTCCAAAATTCCTGTTGTTGCCTCAAACAGCACAAGGCTTGGTGGCAGCACCCACCCAGGTCACAAGCAGGCCAAGGGAGTTTCCGAAACCAGGGCTGAATGTGCAGAGCGTGAAAATATCTTGGGTGGAGTGAAGGGTTTACCCCATTCCTCCTCCAAAACCTCCACAAATACTCAAGTGTGCTGCACGTTGGTCCTGTGTGCAGGCACTTCCCCAAGCTCAGTCTAGCCTGGCAAGCAGAGCTGTGCCCAGGAGCTCCCCAGCCTTGGTCACTACTCAGAGCAGGAAAAGACTGAGCTGTTTCCCTGCTAGGAAAACTAGGGGACAAGGCCTAAAATAGCTTAAAAATGCATTTAAGGGATAGGAAATACAAGGTGGGCTGTGCATCGCAGTCAGGGTATCTAGCTCCTCAACCAGGCTGGCTTTCCTGAGAGAAATACACATATGACATACATGATAACAGTCAACTTACGGCTGGGCCCATGGATCTTGATGGGCTTGGTGCTGATCAGCGAATGGGAGCAGTTTTGGCAGACACAGTCCTTCCCGCTGAACGTGACTTTGTCCCCGATGGGAAAGGGCTTCCTGTGGCCAAGGAAAAGGTGGCAATGTGAGATGGATGCTCCACACTGTGCTCCAGCCGACCCCCATGTCCCCAGCAGCTCTGCTGCCAACCCTGGAGCCCTTCTCCTCTCCATAGGGGCAAGAAGGACCCACTGCCCTGGGCAGTCCTCATACCTTTCCTTGTGCTCAGAAGGGAGAGGTAATGAGTGTGCACAGGGGCAGAGCTGGGAGGGTTGAGGGAGATGTTAAAGCAAGCCCCAGACATCAGAGAGAGGCCTGGGAACCTGTGAGGAATTTCCACTATGAAAATGCAGCCAAGATATCTATGGAGGTGTCAAGTTCTGAAGAACAGACTGAAGAATTGAGGGTCAAGCAACAACCCTCTGTCCCTGTGCCCCACAAAACGTTGCAGGGGGCAGGACCATCCTGGCCCCATCACTGTGACCGCATGGAGAGGACCTGGATGCCCTAAAGCCACCACGTCAGCTCACCTGCACGTGCTGCACACGAAGCACTTGGGGTGATAGGTCCTTCCCAGGGCAGAGATGACCTCGCCGGTGATGAAGTCCCCACAGCTGTCACAGCGGGTGCCGTAGAGCTGCTGGTAGTCGTGGGTGCAGATGTACTCCTGGTTCTTGAAGAAGAAGCCCGACTGGGCCAGGTCGCAGCCGCACACTGGAGAGGAGAACACGCACCCGTTGTGGAGGCAGCATCGCCCCGGCATGGAGGCTGCCCATAAGGGAGGCTGTGAAGGGGCCTCCACCTCATGGAGACTTGGCTCCTTGCAACCAGTTGAGATATGCCCCTGTGAGTTTGCAGGACACCTTAGAGGGCGAGGGCTTTGTAGGCATCTCAGAGGGTTTCCCTGGCCAGCGGGGACCTTCCCAGCACCACCAGGTGTCAGTGTTGGGCTGCGGTGGGTGCAGGATGGGGCAGCAGGGCTGGGAGCAGAGCGGGAACTGCTGCCCTGGACAAACGGACACAGACGACATCGCTTCGGGGACAGCATCAAGGAGAAGAAGCAAGAGTGTGGAAGCCAGGTTGAGGCGCCTTTGGGTTTTGGAACACCTCTCTGCACCCAGTGTGGGTCAGGGGCGGCTGCAGCTTGGGGCTAGCACAGAGCTGGCAAGGTGGCAGTGGGTAGGAGCTGCAGGGAAGGCAAGACAGGAGGATTTCTGCTCATTATTTATTCCCTTTCGCTTGGAAATCAGGCAGCAAGCGCTGCCGAGCTCTCCCTGCCGGCTCTGTGTCCCCTTTGAAGGCAGCGGCTGTCGGAGCTCTTTGTCTGGATGGGTTTTCTGCAGGCACACGAGCCGGGGAAGAGGGCAAAGGGGCTGGAGCACCCGGCCGGGCATGTGCCAGCCAGCCCTGAGGGCACCCACGTGCCACAAGGAGGGCTGCTCATGCCAAGGAGGGCCGGGGGTGAGGAGGCACCGTGGGCACCAGCAGCAGGGATGGGGACAACCCCAGAGGGAGGGTCTCCCGCTGCCAAACGCTGTTGCTGCAAGGGGAGCAGCCGAGTGGTGGCCAAGGGGATGAAGATTTATGCCCTGCTTAGCACAAGGTGATGGGAGCCCAGGGGAGCAGAGACCTTTAAAAACCCTGGTAATTTGATGCTTGGCAATCTACAGAACGGGCCACTGGCCTGCGCACATCCAGCTGTTTTACTGAACTTACTCAGGAGCCCTTGAGCATCCGTTCTGGGCTGTTAGCTTTAACAGCCTCAGCTCTCCTCCTGCCTGCAGCTGCGGGGAGGTTTCCGACAAGGTCTGTCCCTTGGGGAGGGCACCAGGAGCCTGGAGCTCACCAGGTGAGGGGCAGCACGGCCTGGTAACCCACCAGGAGGGGACAGATCCTGCCATTCTCCCAGCTCAGCAACCCCCGCATCCCTCCATGCCCTGTGTGCCAGAGCACGGGAGGCCCATGCCCAGCTTGCCCAATGCATGCAGAGACCCCAGGCCAAGCTCTGCTGTTTCTGCAGGCCCCAGAGGCAGCCCAGCTTCAGCACACAGAAACGCAGCATCTCCAGCTCATTCCCAGCACCAAGGTGGAAGCGATGGGTCAACCACCCCAACCCGAGCAGCTCGGGGCTCTTCCCCACCTCACTTCACCTCTGCCAGCCTTGCAATGTCTCCTCCTCGCTCATCACCCCATGATGAGGAGGTGATGGTGATGAAATGACTGCCCCGTGGGTCACACGCGGGCTATGGGTACATCTGGGGTTGGCATGGCCCGAGCTGGCAGCATTTGGGCAGCCACAGTGACTGCGCCCTGGTCTCGGCTGCCCCAGCTCACAGAATGGGCTGCTGGTTTTGGTGTGGCACAGGGCCACCGCGGTGCCCTGGCAGCCCCTTCACCTCCCAGCATCAAATCCCGCTGGGGGAATCCCACTGGAGGCTGCAATCACATCCATGCGGGACAGGCTGGTCTCTCCCTGGCCCTTTCCCTTCCAAACTGCACTCGGGGCCCACATGGCAACTTGGCTGCTGGCTCTTTGTGCTGCACCCTCCTACCTTGGCAGGTGAAGCACCTGATGTGGAAATGGTTGCTCTGGACGCGAACCACCTCCCCCTTGCACGTGTCCCCGCAGCGGTAGCACTGGATGACGGTGGAGCCGCTCCCAGCCGAGTACGGGCTTTGCTGATAGGGAACTGCTGGCAGAGAGCAGGGAGAGAAAAGACAGAGAGAGGAGGGGTCTGTTAGTGCTCAGGACACCTCAGCCTGCCTGCACAAGGGCCCTTCTGCATCCTCAACACTGCAGCCAGATGTTGGGACTTCATCACCTGGGGAGAAGCTGTGTGAAATAAAGGATATCCCAACCAGCCAGGCTTGTGTCCTCTCCGTCTCCCTAGCAGGTTGGGCACTCTCTATCCGCCTAGAGGAGCATCTATTGACGTTAGGTTCGTGTAATCCCAGTGCTGTTTCTCCCATGTTCCTCTTTGGTGTCCCCCAAATCCAGACAGAGCTCCCCAGGCTCCTACATCCCAAGCAGACACATCAGGGCTCACCCTGCACACTGCCTGGCTCTGCTCAGCCCCGGGTTACTGCTGGTGCAGCCAAAAAAAGCACCAGTAAGGGTCAATCTCAGCAGATAACCCTGTTTTAGTTAGGAACTGCACGAAGAGGCAATCTCCCAAAAAGTTTTCAAGGATAACAGCATTTGAGGGGGTTGACGCAGGCTGGACTTGGAGGCTCTCAGGGAGGAAGAGCACACGAGCCCAGAGGCCACAGCAGAGAGGAGACAGCAGGATTGTCTCCCCATGCAAAGCAGCACTAAAAGCACGAGCCAAGTTTTCCCGCTGCCTTTGGAGAGGGAGGAGAGCGCGGGATTCACCCTCGCTCCTCCCAGCACCCTGCCGACCCCCGGGAAGGGCCAGGATGCTGCAGCCACAGCCCACGCTGCAGGGCAGGGGCTGCGCGGAGCAGACGGCCTTTCTGCTGCCTCAGCGCTGTCCCCAAGCGCAGGCACATCCAGAAAACACTTGGAAGAACAGCGCGTGCGTGGCATGCTTGCAGAGCTGCTGCTGCACGTGCTGCCGAGCTGTACAGGGCTTGTTTGCTCAACGATCCTGGAGAGAGCCGGGATCCGGGCAAAATGACCTGCAAAGGGCAGGGATTTCAATAGCCCTGAGACTCGTTGACCCAGGGCTGAACTGCTTTCCCAGGAACAGCAAAAGCTGCCGATTGAAACGTGGGACGCAAACGGCCTTCCGAGCAGGGAGGAAAGGGGGCAAAACAAGAGAGATCACTCATCAGAAGGGCTCTTCATTCACCACAGGGCAGATCGTGTGACGAAGCAGAGAATCGGCCCCTTACTGGCTTCAAAAACAAAGAGAGAAAAGTCAAAGGGACATTGGACACCACCCTAGACTAAACGCCCAAATACCAAGTGCCCATAGGAGCCAGTTTTCCAGCTGCCGAGACCAACTCTATGGACACACAATATGATGCCCAAACAGACTAATCCTCCCCAAACACCCTGCATGCCTTGGATTTATGGATCCATGAGACCCGGATTGGAGATTACCACCTCTTGTGTGCCTTGTGAAGCCTGACCT